ATCAGCTATCAGCTACTGTTTTGTTATTAGTTTAAGTATTTGCTATTGACTGTTCAAATGCGGAGTTTCATGTGTGTGTGTGTGTGCGCGAGCGAGCAAGAGAGAGCTGTAACACTCCAAAGAAATAATGATCTTTAAAAAAGCATCATATGACCCCTTTAATATCAAATCCACACTAAATCCACATAAACTGCAGTATAGCAAGCTAACATTACAGCTGCAAAGATGACAAGGCCTCTGAAGGGTACAAAAGCAATCATCATGTGAGAGTAATAACATTAATGCTATTCAAAATAGAATATGCAAAACACGCATTAAAATCAGGTATTTTTATTTCAGCGTGTCCCAAAGGAACACTAAAGCAAATGTATGACACCGAGCATTTCACTACAGACTGACAGATTTCACTGAAGCACAATATGTTCTTTGAAACCTTCTCAAATCATCCTGGAAAACATGATAATTAGGTTTTACACAAACTTGAGAATTCGCGCAGCTAAGACGACACTCATGGTTTTTTTTTTCATTCAGTTTGTTATTTGATTTTCTTTGGACCCCACTGTATGTATAGGCTAAGTATAAAAACACTGTGTACATTAAATAGAGTTTTTCAGTAAGGCCCTTGAAGAAGGGTGGAAACTTGATCTAGGCTAGATGCTCCAGATGTCCCCATTACTCCTTATAAACAGGACAGGAGAAGCATTGCTGCAGCATGGACAGCTAAGACTTGTGCTTAAATATGTCAGTGGTGCCCACAGGTACCAACACGTTTTTAATGAAAACTTCTGAGCAACCCCTATCCCAACTAAGGTCAAATAATGTACCGCGGGTGGCACAGCAAAGTGTCGAGCGCATCAAAGCGCACGCAGCGCACGCAGCGTTACCTGTAGTAAGACAGGAGGCCGTTGCTCAGGACAAACCACCGGCGCTGGTAACCCTTCAGGTAGTTGGTCCATTTAAAGAGCCATCCTTTATAAGCGTCCGGGCCGGGATCCTGCGCAGCTGAAGGAGACGGAAGGGTCCGCATCACCAGCTCGGTCATGTTGAGTGCTGCTGTCTGTCTCACCGCTGCGCATCACGCGCCAGACACCCGCCGCACCACGCGCGTCCCGCCGCATGCATGCATGCAACGCGTTGAGGGCATGATCGAGCGAGGAGTCAAATTTGAGGGCACAGCGAGGAGAGGCGGCGCTTCCCAGAGATGTGATGGAAAACTGATGCTGCTGGGGGGAAACACAGCGGATGACGCACAGATTGCTCAGAATCTGCCATATGACGCAAAGACATTAGAGGAGAACGGATGCGAGGATGCACAGGCTTTTAAAAGCTCAAGCCTATGCATCCCGAGACAAGCTCTGCATGAATGCGGCAGGGCTGCATCTGATATCGATTAGATTCTTGATCCTTGCATTATGGCATTTGGTGCTGCAAAGTCATGCGCTATTTTTCCTCCCCGGGTTATATATGTTGCATTACTGAACTGATGCCTTGAACGCAGTTCGCTGTGCTATCCACAAGATGGCGCCGCAGTAAATAGTGACAGTATAGTGTGCTTATTATTTACTCGCACTCGTGTAGTTACGTTACAAACCGGTTATTTCTGTGGAATACCAAAGGATGAATTTCAAGGATCTTCACTCAGCTCTTTTCTATATAATTAACTAAAACAGAACAAAAACATGATACAATTAACTCATACACGTCTGCAAGATGTCTGTTAAAGATCGCTTCATCTAAACCGCATGTGTACAAACATCTGATAGACGTCTGTCGGATGTTAGTTTTACATACATTCTAAATCATAAACAGACAGACATTTTCTAAACGTCTATTTGAGACATATTGCAGGTGAACAAACACTCTAAAAAATAGGTCAATTGCAGATGTAAATGCAGACGTAAAACAGACGTCTCTGTGATGTACGGATAACAGCGAAGAACATAGCCTAAAGAAAATTCAATTGTTTTTCAAAAAGTATTCGCTTTCTACTAAGCTCGCAATTAAGTCACCATTTACTCACCCTGGTGTTGTTCTAGTGCTGCATGTCCTTCTTTCTTTTTTTTCAGATGACAAAGGTAGAAATCACGCTCCTCCTGGCTTAGCTTTTTTTTAAAAAGACGCAAAAGTATCACAAAATGGTCCCATTACACACGTGTCTTAATACTCAAATATTCTGGGGGTATATTATAGCATTTGATGAAAAATAAACAAAAATGTATTGTATTATTTAATGAAAACTCTGGCCTTTAAAAGACATGCTTTTGTGGGAGTTAAATAATGCCGCAAACACCAGTAACGTTACGTCACAGCGCAAATCTTTAGTAAATCGCTTTGCGTGACTCATTTAAATACTCCCCTCATAAATTTACCAAAGGAAAGGGGAACTCCTACAAATGCATATTCAATAAGGTGAGTCGCAAAAATAATGGTCCAGACCTTTTCAGCGCTAATTACGCAAATCCTGACAGTATTTTTTAACGCCAAATAAGGGTTTGCGCTGGCTCAAATTGATAGTCAATCTGGCCCAAATAGGTATGAACAATTTCTTCGTACTTAAAAAAGCCCAACAATAACAAGATGCTCCAAAACGTCTCCTTTTGATCAACACCAGGGAAAAAAATAATAAGAAAAAATTAATAGAACATGAAGGCAAGTAAAGATTGTTTTCCAGAATTTTATTTTTGGAGGTGAACTCTTTTAAACACTGTTTGAAATGACATAAGGGGCTGAATAGCATCAGCTATTTACATTATTCAGTCACACTGTTTAGGTGAAGTAATGACAGTAAATGCAGAAAACAAGTACATGGCACAAGTATTTACAGCCATGCATTTATAAAAAAAAAAAACACAGAATGGTTTTCATTTTTTTAATCAACATTTTTTAGACATGAAAGCAGAGTAAAGCAAATAAAGGGGTATTGGGAATTTAAAAAAAGAAGAAATAATCTCACATTGTTCCACAAAAACATTTTTGACAAATCCAAATGGTACACTGAACACCGGGCATTTACATGTGCATCTGGTTTCAAATACAGTTCTGGACCAGAAAAGCGAGCACAAAACACAAAAAGTTAAAAAAATAAAACATTCACTAAGGACTAACAGCAAAGCAGTAACGAGTTCCATACTAACCATTTATAAATATGGAATTTCAACTTTAAAATCATGTGAAAAACAATCAGGTGAGGCCAGATGTTGACTAGGGACACATCCCTCAATATGGTCTTTCTCTCCGTTCCTGACGATGGTCACCCCTGCAAAAAAGTAAATAATGAATTACTGTTCCTTTTTGTGGCTACATTACCTTTACACTTCCACAGAAACACTCACTTCATATCCATTTTGCCAGGTGGTCCCATTCCTCGCCCCCTTCTTCCCATGTCATCCATAGGAGGCCCACCTCGACCCCTTCCTCCAAAACTGCCTCTGTCCATGCCACGTCCTCCTCTGAAACCTCCACGATCCACACCTCTGCCTCCACGGAAGCCACCGGGTCCCCCTGGCCCTCCACGGTCCATACCACGGCCGCCACGCATCCCACCAGGTCCACCACGACCACGGTCACCACCTGAACCCCAAAAGACAGTTAGTGAATATTAGCGATGCTACTATCTGAAGCACTGCTGTTTGCGGTTCTGAAAGCTATGCGAGATGTGAATGCAAAAGACAGTAACCTGGAGGAGGGAAGGGAGGAGGTCCAAAGCCTTCAGGTTTGGGTGCCTTGCACTGGTTACACTCCATTCTCCAGGCGAAGTTTTGGTTTCCACATCCCCTAGAAAAACAAAGACTCAAATCAGAGGCTGAATGCAATACATGGATCACTGAGTAACACTGCGCTACTACTGAAATACATACGCATTTGGACACTGCCAGTCTCCTGCCCTCTGTTGCATGTTTCCTCCTGTAGGTCCTCCGCGGCCCATTCCCCTGGGACCCCCACGTGGCATGAATCCTCCTCGATCACCACCTCTGCCCATGCCACCACGACCCATCATTCCTGCAGGAATACAGCCAATCCAACTCGATGGTTAGAATTTTTTAGTACAGAAAAACAGAAACTTAGGTTTTCTGGTGCTTCTAAATCCACGTACCTCCTCGTCCCATCATGCCACCTCGGTCTCCCCTCATTGGCATGCCACCACGCATCATTCCCATCATAGGCTTGCGTCGGGCCATGGATACCTTCAGCTTCTTGCCCTGGAAATCTTTTCCTAATGGGAAAACATTATTTTATCTCGAAGACTCATGATGAAAGGACTGACATTCAAGACTGATTTCAGTTAAGTTCAACGCACCATCAAACCACTCGACTGCTGCCTTTGCAGATGGAGGCTCTTCGTAGGATAAGGTGGCATCACCTTTAGGTTTCCCAGTCTCTTTATCTGTATAGATGTTGACAGCAGGCAGGCCTGTGCGTTTGTTTATCTTAGAAAGCAAAATGAAACCATATTAAATCATACGCTTTAAGAAATCCAATAAAGGACCATTTGATGCATGGTGTAACCCAACCCTTTACACGTTTCAGTATTAGATGCTGCCATGTATTAGTAACATAGAAAAGCAACAAGCCATCCATCTTCCCAAAGCCACTTCATCTGATCGAAAAAGACTATCAAGTACCCTAACGATTCCACTGTGCTTGAAAAATTCAGCAACTTCTTCCAATGTAGCATTCTCAGTGAGCCCAGTGATGTAGATAGTGCTGTTTTCAGAGTCATCCTGCTCCTCTGGGCGTCCTGCAGAGAACAGTGTTAAAAGCAGAAGAAATTGATAAAAAAATTATAGACAAAAAAGACATAATTTGAAGATCCAAACTTACCCATGTCACCATCTGTTTCAGGTTATCATCAAGCAGGACACAAGGAGAAAAAGAAAGTGAGAAACAAATTAGTTTACCAGCCGAGCTTCTCAAGCACCTGACAATATTATGCTACCATTTCCTGGCCAAGACTGCCCCGGCACACTCTTTCTGACCAATCAAATACATAAAATGACAAAATACCATGATGCTGTTGACCCAAGGTTGGTTTGATTATTGTGAAAAAGTATTAAGAGGAAACTATTCAAAAGCTACCTAGTTTTTATTCCAGTGTGCCTTAAATATAAAAAAAAATATTTGCAAAACCCTTGAAAAACCAAGGACCCAAATTGGACTCCATACCGGATCTTATAAAACTGAATAAAATAGTAAACAATGAAATGGTGATACTCTACATGGTTGGGTAAGCCAGTTACCATTAACTCCTGATTATAAGGGCAAAATTAACCTTTCATTGGAGTCCACACTCAGGATTTTTAACCAATAAAAATAGATCTGAACGATTCCTATACAACCAATGGAAAAAGTTGAAAACTCTTAATTCTAGCCGGCAGTGTAGTTTTGCAAGGCATTAATTATTTCCCTTCTGAAAAACACCCATAAAAGGTAGAGAATTCTAGTGTATGGTCTTGTGATTCTCATTAAACTTACCACCAGGCTTAATGAAGCCACCTCTGTCTCCAGCGATGCTGGGGGGAATAAGCGAAGATATGAAGGCGATATCCCTTAAAACAGCCACTTCGGTACCACAAAAAGGGTAATGGGGGCATTTGCACAGTTCTAACTAACTCTTAACCCTTAACAAGACCCCCTTATAAAAACACAATACTGCTTAGAGTAACACTCAGTTGGGGTGCTGTAGCATTACAATGTTTGTGCACTGGGCCTGACATGCTCAACTTACAATTTTATGACATTAGTGGCTGAACAGTATTGGGGTTATATAGAGCATAAGTGAGGGTTGATCTTTATTATTATAGGTGCAAAACTCCAGATATTTGTACACTGTAATTAGGGGTGGGTGATATGACCAAAATCTTATATCACGATATGAGAAGGCTCATTTTATTTCACGGTAACTATGTATATCACAAAATATTTATTTTTGCTATAAATGAGGCCTTTATGATATAAATTTTTGATGCCATAGAAATTTCATAATTTTTTGTCACCAGTGTCAATATCACAAAAAAAAAAACTAATACTAGCCTTAAAAAAAACAAACAAACCTCAAGCTCACTGAAGAAAAGTAAACAGTCAGTGATTAAAAAATGTGAAACTCATTTCAAGCAATAGGACAAAAAACTAAATAAATAAGAAATGCTATATTGTACAAAGCATTCAAATTTATAAAAACACTGCATATTATTCACGGTGTAAATTAAATATATAGCTATTTCTTATTAAAGTTACAAAAGTGATTTAGTCAAGAGCAGTGAGAGATTTTCTCTTTTGTTGTTGAAATGAAAGCAGGAATTTGTGGACTGCTGTCAGTTTAAGATCTACACGGATCCAATATACTGTTACACGTTTTCTTTCAGCTGTTCACTTTCACTTAAGACCTAAACTACTGTGTTTATGAGGATACTTGCAAAGATGGCCATTTTGACACATACAAGTGTGTATTTAA